GTATAGATGAGTTGCACTTCACAATTAAATTAGGCATTCACTGTGATGCCAGAATAAGTCATTTATACAGTCTTAACATTGGTTTAAATCTTCAAGTTTATTCACGTGTCTATGTTTTTCGTCATCTAACTTGTCCTGGTTTAATGCCATTTCAGCAATTAATAGATCAAAACATTCAGCTAATTCAGGACAATCCTGCTAGGACTTTTGGTACTGATATATTTTAAATATTGAGAAATATTCAGCTTTGTCAGCATTTTTTTTCTCATTGAAATGAATTGAGATTCCACTTCTAAGCTAGCCTTATTGTCCTTTTTTTACTAGCGTTTTGCTATTTGTGACTCCAAGGTAGCGTTTTCTTGCCTTTTTGTTAGTATTTTGCTACTGTGAATTCAAGCTAGCCTTTTTTAAAATTTATTGATAACATTCCACTACTTCTGATTCTTAGCTAGCTTTTTTCTTTCTTTTTATTAGCTTTTTCTACTTGTGCCTGTATTCCCACTACTTTTATTGCTAATTACCGTACTTGCCGCTGCACACGTTGCACCGCCATATAAGTTGCATCAGTCCAAATGTGTCTAAAGTGGGGAAAAAACATAACTATGTCGCTTTGCCATATAATTCACATCTATTATGCGTCACTGCTGACCACCTGGCCAAAAGTCGATTGGCTGCCAAATGTCAGCCACGGGAGCATTGACAGGAGGACTTTAACAAGATTATCTCTTAAAAACAATTATTTGTTTGCTCGACATTATAGTAAAGGTGTGTCTCAGTTGAACTTTTCCTTAATAAATTTACTTTAATGGTCAAATCAGCTGCATTTTGCCTGGGCGGCGCTGCAAAATACAGCTGATTTGACGTTTGCTCCAGGAGTTCCGGAACGAGACAAAGGTAGTTTGGTATGGCAAGCCAAGTGTCTCATTAATAGCCACTTTTACCTATTAAAATGAGGCACTTGGCTTGCCATATTACTCGAGTGCCCTCTAGTGGCTGAAAATGGTAGTGTTCCATATTTTACATGTCAGAATGAATGAATGAAATCAAATCTCAGCCAGAAATTGGGTTATAAATATGGGGAAAAAACATAAATACGTCGCTTTGCTGTATATGTCGCAGGCATGCTAATTTATGCAAAAAACTGTGACTTATAGAGCGAAAATGACGGTACTGCTTTTCTGCACATTTGAGCTTTTTTAAACTAATTTCAACCTTTTTCTACAGTTTTAGGTATTTTTTGCTTTTTGAGCTTCTTGCGTCTTCATCTTTCACATTTTTAGCTATCGATGTATTTCAATTAAGCTTTTGCTTTATGCCACTTTCAGCAAAATTATTCAGCAGTCAGCATTCACTCTGCATTTTTGCAGAAAATGCTATTTTTTCTAGTTAGTTTTTGTTTTTCCAGACCATAAAAAGAACAATCGTCAACCTTTAAGAACTAACATATTACGTCAACAACAAAGTCCATGCTCAATAATCCAGGTATACAATCCAACATTTTTCAGTGATGTCATCTGGACAGTTTCTTTTTTCTTTTCTTTTTTTGTGCTGAAACGTTACGCCTTCCATCCAGAAGGCTTCATCAGTCAAGGAAACACAACACTAAACTGATTCTTCCTCCAACATCTTACTCCAAAGTGGAACAAACCGGTTTTGTTGGCGCTATATTATATATAACAAATTGCATATAATTTTTGTATATCTTCAAATAATTCATGACATTCATTTTTGGTGCAGTGGTTACCACCGATACCAAATTGTCTTTCCCATCTAATTGTTTTGCATCCAAATAACTGTTAGTATTCTGTTGTGAGCCAACCTGTAACCATAAATTGTCTATAGTGCATATTTTCATGCATTACCTACTTTTCTAACTTCAAGTCAAGATAAATATCACAAGATGACTTATTGAGTCTTTCTCATACAAATTGGTCTTTAGCTGTTAATACCATCCCATCCTCTTGGATGTAAATAAATCCACATTCATCTAAGGTTTTATTTAACCAAACAATCCAAGATGACTAATTTCTTGCCTGAGCTTGTGAGTAAATGATCAGTATTTTCTTCTCTTTTTAGTTTTTAGTGTTACCAACAGGCTGGCAAGTTTTGGATAAGAAAGTAGATACATGATTCCACTAGGGAAAAATTGAAGTTTTGGCACCGGATTTGTTTCACATATGAAAAGCATTGCTCCATAGTCTTTCCTGCTGTCTCCTGTAGGCCACTACACATACTGACATGTTGCCAGCACACTCGCACACATTCCCAGCACAGCAAAGCCAAAACGGCTTCTTCAGCCATCATTCATTTCAAGTTATTGCCCTCTTAAAATAGAACATTTTTCAGTTTGCACGTCCAGAGAAGATTAACGATATTTCTGCCGTTTGCGTTTATGTTTGTGGGGTTTGCTCAGGAGGGGAGGTGTTAGCCTTGTGGCGGCGTCCGTGTTGATGGAGGGAGAGGGGGGCCAGCAGGATCCTGTGTGTCAGCAGCCTGCATGTGAGACATTGCCTGCTGGAAGTGCATCACTGGCACATGTCCAAAAGCACCCCCCCTCAATTCTCCGTTACGCTCCCTCTCTCTTCCTGGTTTATCTTCCTCTTTTGTTGTTGCAGCACAGCGAACAGTCTCTTTAGGCAGCCACTGGAAAGATTGTATGGAACTGTAGCACCGAGCTCTTCCTCCTGTATGTCTTTCCAAGAAATAAAATAGACTTTTGGCTTTGACACCAGTGTATCCTGTTTTCGTTTACCTCCTCCTAAATCAGTATTGGTTACAATATTGTTCAGAAATGTCCCTTTCCTTCCTTAATGTGTAGTTTACGACGAGGTATGGTTTGTTTTTACACCCTCACGCCAAGCGTTCAAAGATAATATGTTCACGGGGCTCGGTTTTGATTGGACGAAAGGCGTGTCGTTCACCCGTTTTCTCAAAAAGGAAGGAGCCTGCAGTCTGTCAGCGAAGCTGTCATGGAGGAGTGCTGCTTCTCTTAGCTCAAAGAGGGATATCTGCACAGGAAATTCGTTGGGAGGGAGTAAACACCTGCTCGCCCTTCCCCTCCCCCCGTAGCCGCCAACATACACACAAACCACACACAACCACGTGTTGCTTAAAAAGGCAGACTCGTTTCTCTCAAGTCTGTTTGATCAACAGTTAACGCCACAACTGGAGTCCAGCTGTTGAGTGTGTTACCATGACAACTCTTTACCTCACACACTGTAAGAAATTAAATGTAAACACTATAATTTTTTAGTTTTTTTTTTTAAATAAATTTTACAGTTTCACAATAAAACGTGACCGTGCTGGTTCGATTTTTTTTTCAGTGTAACTCGGTCGTTATCTTACCTGCTTTTTATTTGGATTCCAGGCCTGGAAGAAGCGCTGGTTTATCCTCCGAAGTGGCCGTATGAGCGGTGACCCGGACGTTCTGGAATACTACAAGAACGACCACTCGAAGAAGCCCATCCGAGTCATCAACCTGCACTTCTGTGAGCAGGTGGACGCCGGCCTGACCTTTAAGAGGAAGGAGTTCCAGGACAGCTTCGTTTTCGACATCAAGACTTCAGATCGAACGTTTTATCTCGTTGCCGAGACGGAGGAGGAGATGAACAAGTGGGTGCGATCTATCTGCCAGCTGTGTGGTTTCAACCAGTCAGACGAAGCTCACGGTAAGGACCCTCAGCCGGTAATCTTTTCCCAAATTCCCTTTTAATCTTTAATTTACAGGAAGTACACTTTAAACAGGACCAAATTTAAGTTCTGGATACCGGATTATTTAACTTTTAAGGTAGCCAAGAACTAAATCTGCTCTTCTTAACTGATGTCTGAAAAGTAAAATTTAGGTAAATAATTGAAGAATTGACCAATTTAACATAAAGAGTTCTTACTTTTTTTGTTTTATATATTTCTGCATTAACTCTCTGTCAATCTACACTAAGAAACAGTCCAACATGTCATTAACTAATTTTTCTGTTTTATATTTAAATATTATCCTTTATCTTACTTTTTTTAATTTTACAAACTAAAACACAATAACGCCTGGGTGTTTTCTTTTATGTAAAATTGTGGTTATCTTAATTTTCTCATATGTTTACAGACGATATAAACTGCATTTGATGTTACTGGCAATTATATTTTTCCCCATCTTTTTGCTAAGAGTGGAAAAGAAACCTCCCGGCCAAATAAATCAACAGTGCCTGAGCCCATGTAATGATTTATATATATATATATATATATATATATATATATATATATGTGTGACATTAAAGTGGCTTTTTTTTACTGATAAAAGTATAATGAATGAAAAGCCTATTGAACTTTGAATGACATGTCCAGTAAATCTTGTAATTATTAGAATAACATCTAATTAGCTGCTTAACTAAACTGTAGTTATCTTAGCTGCTAGTGTTTAATCTTATATAATCTATATCATCATACATTTTTTCTGTCAACCAGAATAACTTGAGCATTAAATTCATTATTATATTTTTCACCATCTTTTGTGAAAATCACCCTCTTGTGTCTCTAAACAAGCAGGCTGTACTCGTGCTGTTGTTTCCCCGCCATCTGGCAGCTGGTGGACGTTATAATCGTCGTGCACATGGCTGATCATCTGTAACGTGCATCATGTCCAGGTGTGGAATAAATAATAACTGTGGCGTGTGAAATAAACTTCACTTCACAAAAAGATCCCTCGGGCCTACAGTCGGTAATTAGCAAGGCCCTGTGATGCTGCTTGAAGTGTAATCACTGTAGCTAGCAGGGTATCGCTAGAGGAATGTTTTTTTGGAGTGAAAACGCTTCAGTCTTGACAGCTGCAGCAATGGTACCAGTTCCTGCAGTTCAATCAACACGCACAGCTCCTTTCTGTCATAAAACACTGTTTTCACAGAAATATTTAGTTTGTTTTTCAGAGAAATTTTATTTGAAACTTAAGTTTTCATCCATTCAAAAGCATTTTGTTCCACTTTTAGGAGATCTTAAATCAAAGGGTAGATGTTAGATTTTGTTAGCCATCTTCTCTGGAGACCCAAAGACCCCCAAACCAGAGCAAAATCACAATTTTCAGCATTATTTGTGCCTTAAGCTTCGATTTTCAGATAAACAGAGCATTAAACTTCAAAGCTAATATCATCTTTGACTGTGTCGGTGCTCCAAACAAATGAATTAAGGACATTAAAAAAGAAGCTTTTGCAAGTTCTCTCTGCCAAAACAATTGTTGTTCAGTCTGCTCACACACAGATCTAGTTTCCTATTGTGTTAAGGTATCTTGTGGAAAAAGGCTTAGTAAGACCTTTGAGTACCATCAGCTCAGTCTGTAGGTCGTGTGCACACAAAGATGTGCATCATCTTCTTCCTTGTTTTTGTTCTTTTCTCTGCTCTTAATAGTTTTCACAAACAGGGCACACATTTTAAGAATGGTCCGGATAACACGTAAAGTGTCTTTCTTGTGAAACCTGCTTTGCATGAGATGGTTTTTCAGGTCTGTTTCTCCATTCCTCTAGTTGTTGACATTAATGCAGATGAAATCTTCTCGTCTCAGTACCTTCTACGTGCTCCTTCTGAATGGCATCAGGTTGTTCTCAGTACGGCAGCGGAAACAAATACTCACATACTTTTTGGATGTTTTCATCGACACAGGCCTACCGTAGAGTTGCATAGTTTTATATGACTGACAAAATAAGAAAACTGCTGAAACTGTTGAATGTGTAGGTGTGCAGAAATACTTCCTTTCTATTTTAACAGTCAAAAATTATATTTTCTTTGGATTATAAAAAAAAAAAAAAAAACATTCTGAGCACAAATCTGATCACTAAGCAGCCTGTAAAACATAAAAAATGGCAAACTCAGCCAGTCTTACAGGTACTGATGTAAAATTTGATTTGATTTTGATACATATAGTGCAAAATATGTTGGCTTTTGGAAAATATTGACGTCAGTCTGGTTTCTCTGCTAGCAAAATTTCTCATGAATCACTAAACAAATCCACAACTGATTAACTTCAATCAAAGTCAAACAAACACCAAAATGGCTATAACTCAACTAATCTTACAGATATTGAGCTGAAGCTTGTTTAAGATGACCACCCCAGTTAATCTAAATTAGCTTATTCAAACATAATAACTGTGTCATAACTGTGCCAGTTTTACAGATACAGTAGTCCCTCAATACTTTGCGGTTAGACTTACGCGGACTCACTCTTTTGCAGGTTTTCAGCATAAGATTGTAAACAACACACAACAGGCAATGGGGAAAGGCAGACCCCATTCCTCACACCCTCCTTTCTCTTTCTTCTAACTGCTCTGCAGTAACAGACAGCCTCAGAAAGAGAAAGGAGGGGGCGGGGGGGGGGGTCTGTCATCCCCATCACTACTGCTCAGGGAACAGGGATGAACAGATCAGATGAACAAGTGTAGAATGTCGGAGAATATGCTTAGGTGATTAAATAAGAGTGAATCTGTTTAAAAAAGGGAGAGAAAGTGGCTGAGTGTGGCTGAGTGCAGCTCACTCAGGTATAAGACAGATCACCCCGCCCCTCCTTTCTTTTTCTGAGGCTGTCTGTCACAGCAGAGCAGAGACACACAGTGCAATTCAGTTTAGTTTATTTATAGATCGCCAAGTCACAACAGAAGTCATCTCAGGGCACTGAACAGAAACATTCATATACATGAAAAGTAAGTTAATATTTATCTGAGGAGCAACAGGCAGGTGCAACAGGCAGCCTTGGAAAAAGAAAGGAGGTGGCAGGGGTCTGTTTTATACTTGAGTGAGCCGCATGAGTGGCATGAATTGTTAATGTTAAATAATAAAGCGCGACCCAAACCAAGCCTTTAATCCCCCTTGGCGATCACCGAGCCACCAGGAAATGTCCCGGCGCTTCCAATGACCAGTCTACTCCCAGGCGCTGATTGGCTCACTAAACGTAGCATCAGTCTGTCTGCTCTCTTTCGCTGTGCTCTATAAGAGCGCTTATAAAGCCTTAAATATATATATATATAAATACTAAAATAAATATAACGTCCCTACTTGGCCGATTTTCACCTATCGCAGGGGTGTCTGGAACGTAACCCCCGTAATAAGTGAGGGACCACGGTATTGTGTTAAATTCTAATGTGTTTGTAGCCGAGAGTCATTCTCAGCACAGCTGAGCTCTACACAGCTTTGAGATCTGCCATTTTGTCTTTTATACGGTTTGACTAAAATGATTAGAACTTCATAGACTATCAGCGTGAGATGATCTGGCATTAAGGGTGGCAGGCGATGTGCATTCCTTCACGAAATGATAGATTTTTAATTCAGCTTTGCACGGATAAGCTGTGTTTACTACAGTTGCGTGGGAAACATTTTTCATTTTTTCATTAATAGTGTCGCTGTGTGGAAATTCTCAGCACATTTGGAAAATATTTCTGCCCACTCAGAGCAGTAGACACAACTCATCACTGAAAGAGTTCACTGAAGCAGAAGTTGCCAGTGATCAAACGTGAGCACGTCTCTGCATCTGATGTTGAGCAACCCCTGGAAACCAGATGCTTTCCCACCTGCAATACAAAGACCGGTCCGCTGGTGGTACCTCTGCTGACGCAAGCAGTGTTGTCTGATAACGTCACTCCGATATGTCAATATTAATTGGGGAAAAAAAGCAGAACAAGTTCAACATCTTTTGTTAACAGAGGGATAAAACAGGCAGTTACTGATGTGAGTCATTGTGTCATCCAACAGAGTGGGAATTCCCTCTCAGAAAATAAACAAGCCAGACGTTAAACACAAACCTTTGGTTCCTCTTATGAAAATTATACACTCGCTCAGCAGACGATACACACGTTGTGTGTTTGTTTTCATACAGAAACAGACTGGAGGTGTTAACCCAACTTTGGTGCATGGATTCCTGGGAAACAGCTTCTGGATTTTGCACACTGTATACAATGTCACATTTGTTGTCCTTCTGCAAAATTCTCATAAATAGGATTAACTTTGCTTAGCTAGACAACAGTACATCTTAAGGAGTGCTGAAGTGTTTGTGTTTCGTTGGGATTTTTGCCAGCATGGGTCTATATAGTAGGTACTTTGATCCAAACCCACCTTCTGTTGTTCAGTTGGTCCAGCCTGAAATAGCAAGCTGCACCTCAGCGCGACCAGGAAGGATGGCCAAGGGCAATACATGTCAGTTAATTGTTACACAACTGACTCTGCCGTTCTGTGTTTCAGTTTGTTTGAGTTTCCCCTCACACACATGCAAGTTCCCACATCACACCCTCACAACATTTGCAGCTGGTTTTGTCACACGAGACCACTTTTTTTTTTTTTGTTCCTGGGAACGCAAATACTTCTTTGTCAGAAGTATCTTATATTTTCAGGGTTTTTTTCCAGCACTTTTATTAATAGAAAACAAACGAATAAACAAAATGTAGAGTTTTAGCCTATATGAACATGTCGTTGAATTAAAAACAACAGGTTATGTAAAGTTCAAGACTAAACCTCAATTTAAGCAAATGTGGAGGAAATGTGGTTAGTTTTTCCACCAGCCTATAGCAGCATAACTAAAGGATAGCTTAGGAAACCCATGCCAAACCTAACTATAAGAATTAATAAAAGAATAGTCTTGCATCTAGTTTTAAAAGTAGACAGGGTGTCAGTTTAACAAACTGGAAGTTGGTTCAGTATTCAGCAG